TCTTCTAAAGGTGCTACTACTGCACATTAAGGTGCAACAGAGATGATCAAATACTTACCTACAGCTTTTCTTTTGTACCTTCAAGAGAAATAACTCTTCACATATCTCTCAAGAACTTGGCATGAGACATCACATGATGTTTGAAACTCTGCTATGCACAGGTGCTTGAAGGACAATATCAGAGTAGTAGTCTATTATTGTACAGTGTGAATGAATGAAGAGTGATTGAGTGCAGTCCTCCACGCCACCTATATAAAGCAGAAGTATTGCAATGTGAGGGCCAGAGAGAGAGAGGGTGAGAGAGCTCTAGAGGCCTAAATGAGGAGAAGGGAAGTGGAAGTGTCCAGTAGGGGGTCTGGTGCTGTGGGAAAAGAGAGGGAGAGGGGGTTGGGGGGTGGGGGCTTGCTCTGTGCAGCGCCTGGGCCAATGCATGAGGGTTTGGGGCTAAGTGTCTCATCAGCATCCAGCTCAGGTGCTGCCAGGGCCCACGCACTAACTATGCCCTGACTTGATTGTAATTGCTTGAATTCAACTCCCGCTGCTCCCTCCTGGCAATATCACAGGCACATTTAACTCCAGAGAGCCTGGGGACCGTGCAGCAAGGCCACAGAGAGCAGCTGACTGCCTCTTATTGAAGCCTGTGGGCTGCGGGGGGATCCTCTCTTGTGCTGTCTGCTTTGTGGGGGAGGGTCACAGGTGCATGCCCCCCCCCCCCCTCCTCTGGGTGTTTGTGAACATGAAACAAGTGCGACTGCATCGGATGTACTCCGACAGTGATGGCATGAGCATGACAGAGGTATTTTCTGTTTTAATGTCGCCTTATGGGAAATGAAATTTGCCCCCTGGCTGTCTGGGGACAACTTGCTTCAAAAAGCTCGACTGTCTGTAAATTTTGGGCTTCTTCAAGCTAATCAACAGAAAAAAGTTATTCTACAAAAGTGGAATTACTTTTTAAATTTGTCTGTGTTTTTTTTTTTAGAGTTATGAAAACCAAATGCTTTAACATCATCTTTAAAATCTTCACACACTCCAACCAAAAAATAAAGCAACCACTCCTGGCTCCTTTCAGCCTGTTTATCATGTCCAATTCAGAGCCAGAGTATGCACTTGATTGCTTCATTGCCACCTACAGTACTTTTATTTTACACACAGTCGCGAAAATCATTATCATGCTGTAGTTATGCTAATGTTTTGGGTGCTGAAAATTGCTCAAATCTGCTTTCAAAAGAAGGACAAAAACCCTTCAGATGCCATAAATAATTGAATGAAAAACATGAGAACACCATCAACAACTTTACTGTAAGTTCATTTTGGTTTTCTCCCAGCAATGCATATGAATTTAGCCCCAAATCAGTTATAGAACATTCAAGCTTCCTACATTTGAGTCCCTTTGTTTGTGACATTTGTGACTGACAAGGGCATGAACAAAGTACTTCCCTCTTATGCTGACAAAAGCTCTGATTCAAAAACAAGATGCAAAATTACGAGCAGAAATAGATTTTCCAGTGGTGACACGTAATCTATGTCTCCCAATCGGCCAGCTTTGGAAACTGCAGCAGGGTTAACTTAAAAAAGTTAGCCTGTGGCGCTCCTCATCCTGTGATAATAGGCCTGCCTGTAATGAAGAACAGGCTTGTTGCCAACAGGTGGTCTCTTTAAAAGACCAGAGCCACAGCACTCAGGATGGTGAAAAAAAAAACTGCCATGGCAAAATGTGTCAGAATCTAATGTTCTGCAGAGTGAAAAGCCTGTTTTCTGTCTTTTGTTCCCAGCTAGAGATTCAGCCTTGTTCCTCATTGTTCAGGGCACAAACGAGCAACAGTCTTTTTTGACACGGAGCCACAGATGAATAAAGACTGGAGCTGACTAGTCACAGGAAAGAGCTTTCTTTTTGGAGGGCTTGGAGCCCATTAAGAGTTTGAGATATGAATGGATATGAATCCTCTCCTTCGACCCCACCAAAAAAATACAACTGGACCCATAGAGGACAAGGAACACCTCTGTGTCTTTTTACTGAGGTTCCCAAGGACATTACAAGAAATCAGGCGGAGGGAGGACTGATTGACAGGCGGGAATTACATAGAGTCAATGAGGAAGTGGCTCTTTGTTAATTTGAAAGGCTACACTATGCCCACCCAACCTTAGAGCACTAACCACTGACACTAATGTTGACATATTGACTTTGTATTCTTGACATAAGCTGTAGGAAAGAAGCCAGGTAATTACAGTGATTACAAACTGCATTATTGCGATATAAACTTTACATTGTAGTTAAATTCATTTTAGGAACCCGCACACATAATGTACTAATGTAATAAAGCAGACAGGATAAAGATAATGAGATATTTAGTGAGCCACTTCATGCAGACGCTCGTCAGCGCGCTCGGCTCAATGGGCAGATGATGGGTGGATCCTGGCGAATGCAGCCCGCAAAATGCAACCTTTTGTCCAACTCCATAATCCATTTGTTACACTCAGACCAATTTGTTCTCATTAACCCTCATAAGGGGACTGTGTCTGAGACAAAAGCTCCTGCGGAACAATGAGAAAGCCCCCCACCCCCGCCCCACCCACATCCACATCGCCACAGCTCAAGTGCTCCCCTTCCCAGCACAGTGTGGCCCCTTGTTGCCCAGAAGGTTCCAGTCTGTGAGCAAGAGACGGACCGAACAAGCGGGTTACACCTGAAAGAGGGGGTGAAAAAAAAAGAAGAAGAAAAATTCCCCATTTCCGCGTTAAGAATGAAATATCTTCCAAAAAAAAAAACCCCACAATGCAACGTCTTCTATTATATTCAGGTCACTCCATCAATCAACTCTGAACAAAATCTTGACATGACGTACAAAGAGCAACTGCAGAGAAAAGGAAGGGGAGTTACAGTAATTTCCAGAGACGTGAGAAAGTTTCTGTTTGTCACACCTGTTGCAAAATTAATTTAAAAATGACATATATTATTGTATTTTATCGTATGAGAAGCTGCACAGAATTAGTTGAGTGTTAAACTACCTTCAACTTCCATCCAGTGGCTCCAACATATATAGTCTGTGTCTGTGCTTTTATTTCATCAGCCATGAACTGGTCAAGGTACCTGCATCGAAGCACCTCTTTCATTTGCAGTTAATCAGTTTATAAGAGTTTTCATGTTAAAAAAAAAAAAAGGTGGATATGTCAGTGAGGAAGTCGTTATTCTCGTCTCCTCTCAGACAGCCAATGTAACCAAGTACATTTACTGAAGTACTATACTTTAGTACAAAAAAGTGCTTGTACTTTACTTGAGTAATCCCTTTGTTATGGTATTAATGATTTTCCTGGGAAATCTTATAAGCTTTACTCCACTAAATATATTTGACAGCTATAGTGAGTAGTTATTGTTTAATGTTTATTTTCACAGGGACGAGCACGTAGCATGAAACAATGCCACATACCACAGCTCCAACAGTCTGAGCTAGTTTGCGATGCAGGTTCCTAGAAGGGCCATTGAAGGATCTATCTGGGGTTAGGGTGAGTTAGTTGGTTTTGCTACATAGCCAACCTTTGCAGAGACTTGGTATCGGGATGAGACAGTCCATGGGGGGCGGGGCTAGCTGGTTAGCATGCTAACTTCAGTAAAAGAGAAGAAGTCATAGAAATATAAGCGAAACATGAGTAAGTAGTTAGATGAGTCATGACTTCATCACTAATCCCTCTTTAGAACCTGTTTCAACTTTAAAAATGATGCCATGGTTTAGGTTAAATATCTGTTAGGGGCCCAATGAGGTAAAATTATCCAATATCCAAAGGACTGCAGAAAAGTCCAAACATATAAACACAAATTTGTGTCTTTTCTACTCCGTTAATCATCTAACGGCCCCCCAGACTAATCACGTGACGTTTTGGAGGGGCCCCGACCCCTTGGTTTGGAACCACTGGACTTAACTACCGAGCCGTAGATAAATCTAGTTCCACTTTGAGCAGCAATGAAAAACTGATATATCAGTATTAATGATCAAATATTGTAATTTTTCTGCAGACCACATAAGCTACTTTTATTTTTCAATACATTTTGCTGATAACACCTCTAGTTTTATTTAAGTAGGATTCTGAATGCAGGACTTTTACTTGTAACAGAGTATTTTTAAATTCTTGTATTAATACTTTTATTTTACTTTCAACACTACAGATACCCTAGAAATAAAAACCCTAATTCTTCAAAGCAGTTTCAAGATACAGCAGAAGTCCTCCTGGTTTACTCATAAGAGAAAAAAACAAATGTTTGTATGTAATTATTGCTTCAGCCGCTTGCTCAGTTAAAGCAACGCAAAAGCCTTTTATAAACATGTCAGTGTCAAATGCGGTGGCGTCCCATTTAATGCTGGTTTGTTTGGTCTCCAATATGTTTTCCAAACAGAGTTGCAGTAATCAGGTCATTTGTTATAATGACAACCATTAGGGGTGATCATCGTCACACAGCAGTCAGGCAGATAAATTAGGTGCTCTCTCTCTCTCTCTCTGATTCGTCTCAGTTACACACACGAACACAGAAATGAATGCACACACCTTCCCAGCTTTAAACATTAAAGATGAAAATGGTAAACATTCATGATGAATTAGTTCTGAATCAAATGTATTTCCTGATCTTTTAAAGGTGTAGTTCACGATTGCCAGAAAATTAATCAACAACACTTGATTATTTTCATTTAAGTTAGAATTATATGCAGCAATTCAAATGTAAGAAATTATGGTAAGATATTAAACTGAGCATATCTGTGTTTTGAACTGTTGGTTGAACTAAACAAGACCTTTGAAGATGTCACCAGGGGCTTTGGGAACTTTCCACTATTCACTTGCATTTGATTATTGATCAATTATAAATAATGAAAATTATTAGTTGTATTTGTTAGCAATTATTAGTTTCTACCAATAAAGGAACGACTGATTGCAGCCAGATTACACATTACATTTACCAGTTAAAGTATTAAAGTCACGATTAAATTACAAGTCTGAGTTTTCATGGCGGAAAAAATACCTTTATTCACAGAGCAATTACATTTCACTTAACTACAAAACTATTTAGAGGATTTATTATTCTGATATTCAATCATGGCCACAAAATGAAGCTGATATGAAAAGTTTTTCTCTTTTTAATCTCGCTGATGGTCAGAAAGGTCATAATGAGTGGCTGATGAATAGAGAAAGAAATGGAGGAAACAAGATGAATGCATTAACTAATGTATTGTGTTTGGAGCATCGGTTTGTGTTTGCTACAGCGGGCACTCTGTTCCATATCCAGGCCCAAATTCATTCACCCTCTTGAGCAGCGCTGCTTTCACTGCATTGATCTTCTCATCCAGCTCTGTCAGACTGCAGCCCTGAAGGACAAAGTAAGAAAGTAGTGATCAAACGATCAAAACAGGTTAACCTCCACTCACAAAGCGCAGTGAAAGGAAACAAAAAAGCTACTAACCTGAGCAGGGGATGTCTTTGGTCGCTTGTGCAGGTGACTCTGCAAAAAAAAAAAGAAGCACACAAGTACACATTAGACTTTTTTAATTAGCAGAATTTCTGAACCAGCCTGAGCTTTAAGAAACATACTGAGGTACTTGTCTGTTTCCTTTCTTACTTCGCCTCAAGGACTGAAAAAGAATTTACTGAGAGACACGGACACAATTGAATGGAAAGACATTTGTAAAACCAAAACTTAGGCTTGGAATTTCCTTGCGTCCACAGACTGAAATACAAAGAAGTGAACTTTTAAAAGCAAAGAGCAGCAGACACTTGCTAACAATTATGACAGGAATGCAGCAAATTTTCAATTCAGCTTAAGGTTATTTTAAAAAGGTATTTTGACAATAATTGGAAACACCAAACATATGGAGAGAGATAAGTGGGGGTAACATCCGACAATGTCCTCGGTCAGAGTTGAACAGAGGTTCGATGGCGCGTGTTTTAGACTGCGCCAAGAAATATGTTTTTACATCACAACTTCAACTCTAAAACCTTGTGGAATTGTTTAGTTGTAAATTGCTGCATAATTTGTCAAGTAGCCTGCTTTGCTGTTCAGTGTTAAAATGTTGTTCCTGAAACCGTTGGCCAACTGTGTACAGCTCTTCAGCAAACACCAAACTACAGTATTTTCACATATCGCAAAAGAAAAAAAGAGGAGAAAAAAAAAGAGTGGTACTCCGAATATAAAAGACCCCATCATTTTATTCAAAGACACTCAACATCTTTTGCACTGCTCACACAAACATGCAGTGAGTCAAAAGCAGATGGAAAGCAGCAGACTCACAGAAGCAGCATGCTGTGCTGAGAAATACCAGTGTGAAGAGACATGCAGTATCTCAAGCACACTTACTCAGATAACTAAACACACGCTGGACAGACTCCTTCAAGATGGGAAATTAGAGTCTGTGTGACTCTGCTCAAGCCTGTCGGGTTGAATATGAAGTCCAATAAATTACTGCCATCTTCTGAGTCTGCACTTCTCTAAAAAGCATGGCGTAGTGAAAAGTCGTCCTTTCTCGAGTGAGCTGTCTGCAGTGACCTAAACGTTAAAGTAAATGTAACCAAACGCGCTGCATTTTTGATTCAAATCAACTTAAGTGTAACTCAAGGAGGGAAACGTGTTGAAGTATCGGGACATATCAGGGGAAACTCCTCGTTTCATTTTGAAATGATTTTTCCTACAGCACACTGATATTCTACCTGCCAATTTAGGCTTCATACACATTAAATGCATCAACTGGTGGAGAGCGTGTGAAATGGACCAACTTAAAATACTCTTTCCTACCGATACCAGACTGTTTAGTTCTTTCTGAACTAAACAAACCCAAGGATCCAAAATACATGAAGCAGTATCTGTGCAAAGCAAAAGATAAACTGTAGCAGAACCCAGTGAAACAAAGCTGCTACAGATTTTCCATTTTTGTTTTTTATATTTTTCCTGTATCTATCATTTCACATGATATTATTACTTCATTTCTCATCATCATTCACTGTCGAAGATACCCTAAAATTACGGCTGAAGGAACAGTGTGCTATTTCTCTGTTGTATATTTGCAGGTTCATATCCCAGCAGTGATGTATCCAGCATAGTCAAACTTCCTTATGTTGCATACTTCGGTTTGTTGTGAATTAAACCTGAAACCAGCGACTGCCCCCTTGACTCAAGATTCAAAAGTCGCTGAGTGGTGCCACCTGGCCAGCTCAAGAAAAGTTAAACTAGTTTTGATTCCACTGAGAAAAAGGAAGCACAGTGGTTTTCTATTCCAACTCAACTATGTAAAAGTACTTCAACACAAAATGGAGGAGAAGCTGACTGACATGTTCAGCGCTTCCCCAATTCTCTATGATAGAACTTGAACAAGCTACTGGGACTTGAATATTAAAAAACAATGCTTTGAAACACATCACTTGCTGTCTTTGTGCGCCAGTACTTTGGCAATGGAAGAAAATAAACGCCCAATCGGAGCAGAGTACTTAAAGTGCCAAAAGTTAAACACGCCTGCAAGCTTCAGGCTCATGTGAGGCAAGAGGGAACCTGCTAGTTTGAGTACATGAATGGGTGAACAGGGAGGTGTGCCTAAACGTGCTCAGGGAGGAGTTTCTGTTGGTGAAACTCCTCTTTGTCAGGTGAAACGTAGCACCTGTTGTCCGTTTGTATCAGGGGAGGAACATGGTTGTCTACACCTCAACAAGCTGAGAGAGGTTGGCAATAGCAGGGCTTTAAGTACGCGTTTCGCAACTCCAAATATCATCATATGATGACATGTTGCTCATGATAATAATATGTGATGTACAGTTGATTCTGTGATACCTGCTACATTGAAGACTATCTATAATAAAATTACGATACCCATAACTCAACAGGAAACGCTAAAATGTCAAAATAATGGTTCAAAAAGCAGAAATCACTATAATAACTATATTTTGTTTCTGAACTAAAAAGCAGAATAATTAACTGATGTAAAAAGTGGAATTGTTCCAGAGTGGACATGTCTGGAGTGAGAGGAATACATCAATGACTCTTGTAGCTTTAACCTGTTCAGACATATCCTGTGGGTTGGTTAAAGAATACAATGTACCCATCTACGAAATGTCCAAATTACACCATTACTTCTCCAAACTTGTATGACCTGTGTGGTTATGCTGAGTAATAAAGTCTTCAGTGCTTTTTGTTTGTCTGTTTCAAAGCCAGAGGACTCACTGTGGACTGAAAATACTCGGGTGAGAGTCCTTCCAATTCCAGGATACGGTCCTCCAGCTTCTTCAGTCTGTGGTAGACACTCAATGGGACCGGGCCCGCTGAGGAATAAAAACACTTGTTGAGCAGCCTGAATATTGATCATCTTACATGACAAATTCTACAAACATAGGGTGAGGACTGTGACTGACGCACGTGAATGAGTGTAGAAAAAGAAGCAAGGTCATAATAAATCATTGGTTAGTTCAAACTGGCATGTAACATTGTTTATATCAAGTTAAAAACTAAACAAATGGCTTATTTTTAAATACTGGCTTCTTATCTTATGAACCATCCCGGCCAAGTTATACTTTGTAATGCCTTCATAATTACATTTCATCTATTTTGTAATGGTAAATTTATATAATTTCTTTTTCTGAAAAAGGCAAATATTTCTGTTTAACTGGAAATGAACTCCTGTTTCCAGTGTTGCACATTTAAACATTACAGACCAAATGAAACACAATGATTTTAAAACAGTCAAACTTTTGTGTCTTTGTGCTTCTCTGACCTGTTGGGAGCTTCAGGTGAGTCTCGATGTTGTGAAGTCGTTCTTCTATGGCTGCATTTCCACAGTGTCTTGCCATTGGCCCCCTCTGCTGCTCCCCGCCCTCTCCTTGGCCTCCCCCACCCCGAGTTTGGGGCCCGTAAGTGTTTACCACCCGCGTAACTAGCCAGTCGAAGAACATAACACATGAACACAAACTGTAACCCAATACTGACCAGACAACATGTCTTCAGCACTTCTTTTTCATTATTTCTATCGGCAAGTTGACCCAGAAACAGATTTTTGTCATTATACATGTAATGCATTTGAATTTAGTTGTATTAATTAAACACAAACATTACAAATAAACAACATTTCATGTTAAGCAAATGAAATTCTTTCCTTCAAGAATTTGAAGGATTATGCATCTGTGATTTTTTTTTAAATAATAGTGTGTAATTTCAAAAATGATGGTTGCAGTTCTCAAAATTAAGCTGTTAAGAAATGTCACATTTACATTTGTGGCAAATATTTATTATTTTCTTACCTTTCACATGACTTTTAAAACCTGGATAAGGAGTGAATACTGCATCTGTTCTGGCACAGCTGTTTTCTAAAGAGGAGAAAATGAAACCGCAATTAGAACGTTATGTCAAAAATGGATATAAAAAAGATTTGAAAGAATGATGTATATATCCCACTCAAATGCTATTACCATCCGTGTGTCCTGATTTCTATAACTGGTGTCTCATACAGGCTTTGAATTAAAAAAAGACCCTCTTTCTGATGTTTTTCTCGACTAAGCTGGTTGTGTTTTGAGGCCGAGTGTGTTACCTACTTCAGCCCCACTCTTGGAGCAGTTCAGCCTGACCTCTCGCCTGTGGAAATCAGCTCTCTCCGAAACATTGGCAATCTGTGTGCAGGCTCCCTCTCCACCCTGCCCCCAACCTCTCTCCCATTCTCACCCTGATTGCAGTCGATCACGTTGCAAAACTCGCGCACATTGTTTTCATTGATCTCCATCTGCTTGCGTTCCATAAATGCAGATATTCTTCGCTCAATCTAGGGTTACAAAGGAGAAATGACACAGGCAATAAGATACAACGGAGTGATGAGCTATTGATAGGTGTAAAGAATGCAATAAGGTTTTTTGCCTACTTAATGTTAACAATCTGCACACAGCATGCAGCAATTTACATTACATGGGATGAGAATTGTAGAAGGAAATTAATCCAGGTAGCCGAATAAGTTGAATTGCTTGCCATCATCACATGATGGAATATGAATACTGTTTGCTTGGCTACCAAAATAAATGCACAACAGAATGGGGCCTCTTGTCATTCATCCACATGCAATCTCAGAGTAATGAGCATCCACTTCATAATCCATCAAGGGCCTGGCCCTCTCTCAAAGCCCTCCAGCAATGTGGTCTGTTCTACCCGACCACAGCACTAAAGGACCCCTTATTCTCTGCCGAACTCGGCTTATCGGGTCTCCATCAAGCATTTGCTTCACTGCGGCACGTCATGTGCACATCCTCGGGAGCAATTACTTATGATTATTCATTTGCTTGACAGAGTAAAGAGGGCTCTAAAAATGTCACTGCCGGAACAGCTGATAGATCTGCTGACTGATCTGAGACCAACCTCTGATTTCCCGGCTCTTATCTGCACCATGACGTCATCAGCCGCCGTCTTGCCTTCTGTAGCCTCTGAGCTTGGAGGAAGGTGCTCAGACAGTGCAGCCATCTGCTCTATGAGGGAAGATGAGGTGACCGCATCATCTGATGTGTTGTCCTTTGTAGATAATCGTTCACTATCAGCATCCACTAGTGTCTTTAAGCTTTCTGAAACAGTCTAAATACACACAAAACTCATGTTGGGTTGTGTCAAACAACAATAATATATTTTAAGAATGAAAAAAAGGTATGAAAACATTAACCTCGTGCCATCTTAAATAAATTAAAAATATTTAAAATCATGCCATTTAACCAATATTAAAAAGTATAAACTGGAAATAATTAGCTGTGTTGCCACTTTACCTGTAATTTAGTGATATGCTCCTGCAAACAGCTGTAAACATTAGCCGCTGAAGATGGAGGATTCACAGCATCGGTGTTGACTTCTATTCTCAAAGCAGCAACATCTAATTTGAGCTTAATTTGAAAAACACAAAGAAAGGGAAGTGACATTACTGTACAGCTGATGGAATTTTTACATGTAATAGCTTGGTCTCAATATAATGTACACATTTGTCAGGTAATTGTGAGTTACTTAGTTGATCAGTTAATGACCTAAACATTAATTAGCAACTATTTTGATAATGAATTAATCATTTAATCACCTCTGAAGAAAAAGTGGACATGGTTTGCTGGAGCGAGCCTCTTTGAATGCAGTATCAAGCAGCAAGTATTTTCTTCTTGTGTCATAATAAATTTAGTATCTTTGGTTTGTGAGCAATTTGAAGACATCTTAATAGGGCTCTGGGAACGTATGATGAAAATTTTTGAACACTATTTTATAAGAAATAATATTTATCATGTAGTTCATGTAATCTTTACTTGAAGCACTAATTGTAAAACAGTGATGCGATGCCACTACAACAATGCTACTATCAGTAAAGATACACAGTAGTTTTAGTTATGCATGTATGCAGTAAATGTAGTTCATGTACAAGATGAATGTGCAGCAGGTTTATACATTATAAAACTGCAGAAATGCATGTGAACGGTGCTGATACTGGGGATGTTTTTAATACATGTGTAAGTTATTCTTGCTTTATAAGCCAAAGGGCAGGATCTCATATGTACCGAAGCAGAGCGTGCTACAATGTGAAAATGAATAATATAGTTCAAATATTAGCCACAGGTCGCAACAATAAGAGCTGCTATGGAGTGGTAATGACGATAAAAACAAATTTAAAAAAGGAGATATGTTTGCTTAAACTCGTGCTACGGACTTGCTAGTTGAGCCATGTGCATACCTGTGAGCCGTTTAAAAATAAAATTGAATCGTTTAACGCTGGCATAAACTCAAGCTCAGTCACTTTTCTACTTAAACTTAATTGTCAAAACTCCATCGATGTGTTGAATGACAATGAATGAACGGAGGAGTCAGCTAAGCAGCTCTGCTAACACACCCGGTTGCTAAAAACATTAGCATGTAGCTAGCTAACAACACGGACTAAAAGAAGAACCGTCACTCGGGGCAACGTGGTTCAAACAGCGTCAACCAACCTCTTTTCCGAAGTTTGCTAGCAGCTTCAGTAACACACACATGCAGTCCGTGTAGCTGGACATCTCACTGGACTCATTAAGAAGAGTGTGATGTCCACTCGGCTTCATTGTCTCCGCCATTGCTGCTCAACGCTTACAGAATACTGCCCGCTGATTGGTCAGAATGAGGCAGAGGTGTGTGCGTAGAAGATGAGGTAGAGAGAGAGCGCGAGCACGCACACACGCGCAGATGCACGCGCATGCGCTCGCGCACGCACACAGTCCTTGATAAGGGGGTAGTAGAATAGAATAATGGTGGAAGATATGATCCTTAGACAGAAGTACTAACACCACACTGTAAAACTATTGTCTGTTAAAAATATCAGTATTGCATTTAAAATGTTACTTAAGTAAAAAATATGTAGACCCTATGTATACTCAGGAAAATGTACTAAAAGTAAAAGTACTCATAATGCAGAAAAAAAATAAAATTTTGCTTGAAAAATTACTGAAATTATTATTAATGGTTAAAGCAGCATTTTACTTTTGTAGTTGGTTGAGGCGCAGCCATTTTAGCTATTTTATGTAGGCTAAGGCTGCAACTAAATATTTATTTTTATATATCCTGATTAATTAACTGATTGTTTGGATTGTTTTGTAAAAATTCAGAAAATAGTGAGAAGTACCCATCACAATTAAAAAGAAGTTGCAAAATAATTTTCTGTCAATTAACTAATCATTTCAGCTCTACTTGTAGGCCTTATGTACTGTTGGTTAGTTTAATCCATAATAAAGCATCATTATTTTATCAGTTCTTCATGGAAAAATCTTAATTTCTAAAGTAACTTGTGACTATAGCTGTCAGGTAACTGTAATGCAGTAAATGGTTCAGTATTTTCCTCTCAAATGTGATGGAATCGAAGTATAAAGTGACATGAAAAGAAAATTCTGAAGCAATACAAGCACCTCAATTTTGTAAATGTACATAATTAGCTTCCATCAGTGAAAATAATCTAATTTAATCATAAGCAAACTTCACTTTGTTTGACTTGAGTGTTAATCTTGTTTTGTTTTTTTAAACACAGGATAATGCATGCGTTTCTATATTTGACTTGTGTTGCTGTTTTTATATTGTTAACAGGAATACGTATTGACTTCACTTTATCTATTTATTACAAAATATTAAGAAAATCCCTCTATTTAGCATTCATAAGCAGTATACAAGCATTTTATAAATAGTTTACAACAGTATTATGCAGTTATAAGCTTTCAGTTTACTAGCTATACACTAGCTAAGACTAATGCAGTCTAATACAACAATCCTCCAATAGATCTTACATCACGAAGGTTATAAAATTCAGTTTTACATTAATAATAAGTAATCATATTTTGTAAACTGATAATATGTTTTGTGTGTACAATCTAGCAAACATCATTTACCAGAAGATTAAAGTTGTGCCCAAATTACACACTGCTCATACTATAGACAGTACACACTAAAGCCTTTTATTAATTGGTGAAATGAAAAGAAGTGTATTGTGTATCAGGGTTTTCACTGTGATTTATATCTGCAGTCAAATAAAATACAATCAGACATGGCAACCTGCAGTCTGGACTGACTCAAATGTGAGATTTGTAGCTACATTTAACTGTATTCTCAATCACTTACTTTTCAGACAGGAGGAAGAATGGTCACTCAATTATAAGAGCACTGTCCCTCAGACCATGGCGGACTGTGCAGCAGGGCATTGGGATGGGAACCTGGCCACAATGTTGTATTTTTCTGTGTTGAGTGACTGTGGGAAAATCTCCCTCCTCTATTCAGACATTTTTCCCTTCTTTTCATATAATGAGGAGGGAGACTGATGAAGGCAACAACAGAAAAAGAACAATTACAGGCAATGAGAAAGCACAACCACTCAGAACTCAATAATACGCTCTAGAAGGGTTAATCATTTTAGGAAGGGGTCTGAAGACAAGCCCTTTTAGTTTAATTCATCTCTGGGGTGATATTTTTTTCCCCCTGAAACAGGAAGGGAACTGTAACACTTGACATGGTTTGACATGCTGAGCCATTGCTGAATGTTCCCACACAGCAAGGAGCTCAGAAATTAAAAAACTGCTCATTTAATTTGCCTGGCTGCAGACCCAAGAGCACTGATTGTTATTGTCGCAAGAAATGTGATTTGAGGTGCTTAGATGAGCCAAATACAAAAACAAAACAACAAAACTGGGTGATATTTTACATTTTGGTTATATTTAACTTTTTAAAGCAAATTTGTGTTTTGTAGACATTCACATACTTTGAAAGTCAGATTTTTTTAATTAGAAAACACTAGTGCTGGAATAACTACTTGGATAATTTTCTTAAGTAAAAGTACAGCACTATACAAATATTCAATTACAAGTAAAAGTATAACATTCACAATTTTACTCAAATAAAAGTGCAGAAGTGTTGGCAACAAAATGTACTTAAAGTATCAAATATAGAAGTGTTCATTACACAGGATGGATCCAGTCAGTATTGTGTTGTATTATGGGATCATTATTATTGATGCATCAGCATATAAGCAGTACTTCATATCTGTAATTGTTCAAAGTAGAGGTCATTTTAACAGCTTTATACAGTACGTTTCGGTTGTTTATACCAATGCATCATATTTTATAAACTACTCATTTGTTTTGTTTGCAAAATCTTAACTGAGAAAACTCAGTAACTATGGCTGTGAAAAAACATATGGTGAGGTAAAAAGTATAAGGTTGCATAAATTGTAATGGAGTAAATGTATTCAGATATTTTTCACCACAGCAAAAGACTGAATGCACTTAAATGCAAGCAGATATAAAAATGCAATACCAAACTCACAAAACCTGTAAGTTTTTACACAATGTTTATTTTTTGTTTTCTCTAGACGTTATAAAAGCATATCAGCAAAGGCACAACTACAAATTAAAACCATTCCTTAATTTTTTGTTTAAAAATATGTTTTTGTATCACTTTACTTAACCACCCCTATTTAGCATTTAAAAGCAGTATATCAACACTTCATAAAAAGTTAATGTATTTATTTGTCAAGAATTATAACTTCTCATACATATCTGTAACTTCTGTATTTAATAAATCAATGATAACACAGTGCAGCGTTGCTGTAATCATATTAAATGGACAAACCCTTACAATGTGAATTCACGTGTACACATCATTCTCAGGTGGCTGTTTATACATGTGTTCAAAACTCATGAGGAGATGTTGAGCTTTGACTTTTATTAGTAGTAGTTTGACCAAAAGAAGAAAAAAAAAAGTCCACTTACTGTATTTTCCCTTGGCCTTCATCAGCAGATGGGGTTTGCTTCGTTTTCCTGAAGAATGAACAAGTATACTTCATTAATGAATATGAAACATAAATACTATTTCCTAAAACTCCTTAGATATCTATAACTTTAACTACAATTATGTCATGTTGTTTTGTCAATAAGTTATCATCTGTTTATGCACATTATTGAAGATTTACAGAATTACAGTTGTTAACAAATACATTCATAAACACTTCAAAATTTCCTCATATCTTTTTTCATATTATATTATCAGATTATAAATAAAGTATTTAGTTTTAATTTACTGCTGATAAATGCTAAATAGGGGGTTTAATTAAAATGTTACCAGTATCTCCTTTTTAAACATTTTGTTTGTATAGAAAACACATTCGAAGGACAAACAAAAGACAAGACACATTAAAAAATGTAATATCTTTGTGGGTTTAAAAGTGTTGTGTTATTATATCTTCTTGCAAGCTTTGAGGCGCAAGAGCATAAAGAGAAATTCAAAGACCACAAATGTCTGCTTAACTCAAATATGACAGCTTAAAATGAAATTATATTGTGTTGTAGTGGGTTATAAATCATTTATTTACTCTATATGTTAATAAATAGAACTTTATAAGCTATTTTTGTGTTCTCCGTGTTACTTAAGTAGAAAATGTTCAACTTTGGCTCACAAGAATGCAGTCTTGGCAGAGAGAGGGAGTTTGTGTTATACAGGAAACACACTGATGGTGGTGATGGTGGTGGTGGAGGAGGAGGAGGAGGGAAGTGAGTGAAGAGGGATTGTTGCTGCCTCTTGCCTCAGTCACATCAGCCACCTGCAGGAAAGTAAAAAGGTCCGCTTTTGAGCTCGTCTGCTCCACGGCGGCAGATGATGTTGACAGAGCATGAGACAGAGTAAAGGCCAGACGGGAGGGTCAGGAGAAAGAGGGGGGCACAATGTAAAGAGGCAAGTGGATTACAGTGGGAAGGTTTTGTCTCGTTTTACTGAGAGGGGAATAATTAAATGTAGTCCTTTCCTGTGGTCTTGGGACTAAGCTCCCCATGGCAGCTGACCATACAGAGAACTTGCTTTTAATAACCATCAACTGATGTTTTTAACTGCCATATTATATTTTGAGAAGAGAACCACTTGTTCACCATGAAGCAGGAAGACATCACAGTGGATATGCTCAGACACCTGGTTATTTCACCATTCAATATTTACCACAGCTACAGCCATGCCTCCAGCTCTGTGATGCTTTTTAGTCTTTAGTTTTGCAGGTATTTTGTCAGAAACCACAGTAAAAAGTTAAGGGACCAAAGTTATTACAACCCAATACCTTCTAAATCTAATATTGAGGGAGATATGGGAGAATGTCTCCACCAAATTTCATGGCAACTCGTGGAAAAGTCAGGAAAGCACCAAAGCTGATTCATTGTCTGGGGACTATGGACGTCTGTTCAAAATGTTGTACTATTCAATTTTCCATACTCAGGGATATTTCACAGGATAGGAGAGGAAAAGTCACCAAGGTCATTAGGACTCATCCTCCTCCATGAATATCTGTAACAAATTTAATGGCAATCCATCCAATAGTTGCAGAGATATTTCACTTGTTGGCATCTTAACATTAGCTAATTAGCATTAAAAAGTACTACTGATGCTGATACGAATGTCTTTTCTTTGGTCACGTTGATCTGTTGATTGTGCCAAATGAAAAGTTTAGGGGCTACCAAGGACAGAAACGTCAACCTCATGGTGGCGCTAGAGGAAAAGTCAAAGGCTTGCCAAAGTCATCAGGGTTCATTATCTTGGTAACATTAATGTATGAACAAAATTTCA